ATGAAACATGGAAGAGGTTTGGATCTAGGGTTCATGAAACCAACTTGTTTATTTTTAGGTCTGATACCACACGGTTTACTAGACCTTAGAGATGTTGTCAGAAAATCATGGAGTTTATGCATGTGGGAAACTATGATAGCCGACCTAAGCGAAACCAATCAACACAACGATCGGTCGAAATGATGGTCAAGGCCCTCCTTTTATCCCACACACACATACACCCACACAGATTCCAACATCATCTAAAAGGGCTAGTGAATATTAAACAGCCACATAAATAGAGAACATGAATATAAATGAAGAATATGTACATAAATAAAGAACAAGAACGTAAATGAAAACATAAATATTAAACATGTTAAAGAACATAAATTAAAACATATATGGGATCTTTTGCTATCTATAACATTTTCAGAGTATTACAACACCCTTGAGGTTGAGGAAAACTTAGAAATATGAAAGAAACATGGAAGAAGTATAGGAAAGATGTGTAGAGAAAGTATGGAAGTGTAGAGAAAATATGGAACAGAAGAGTGAGAGAAATAAACAAAAGTGTTTACAAAGTTTACAACAAAGTTCCTCCTCCTCCTGAGAAGTGAAAAGCCTTTATTTATCGATAAAAGAGAGACAACCACTCATAAATGACTCATTAAATACAAGACTAACCTTTTTGACTTTGGTTTTTTTTTTTTTTTTTTTTTCACATTAAGTAGCCTACAATTCTTGACTTTTTACAAAGGATACGAGAGATAATACATTGAGATGGCATATTGCCATTTAGTCCACCCTTATTTTACATAAAGGACACAACTACTTATTTTAGGATACGCGGGTCATTAATCGTTTGACAGATTGGTAACATGCCACGAGTCTTCATCCTGGAAGTCGAGACAACCCATTGATTGAATCTAGTCAGTAGGGATTTGTCGGAGAGATGTATCTGGATGAGTATCTGAAGAAATGCCTGGAATCTGAGATTTTGGCGCTGCAGATGTACGTGGTGCATTCACGTATTGTTGTCACCTGGATTTATGGAGATAGTAATCATGAGACTGCTGAAGCTCTTCTTCCTGCACAGTATCTGGCTGTGAGTCTGGGTACCACCATTCTGGATAAGATGAATTGTCATCGAATTAAGCATTGATGGAACGTATGCATGTCTGTTTGGCTCAGAGTAATTTCTCAGTGTAGTCTGAAGGAAAAAGTTCCCACGGAGCATCATCATGAAAGGATGGCCATATTGCATCTGGAATGATTTGATTTTTTTCAAAAAGGATTTTTTGAATTGATCTAGTCTCAACAGGATGATCAAACATATTATGGACGAGGTCATATGGATAGCAACGATGAAATGTGACTTGATGTTGTGAAAAATATAGGCCGTCAGATCTGATAGAGTGATGTCTGTGAAAAAACAATATAGATTATGCCATTTTGGTAGACATAGGAAAAGAATAAAGCTCGCTGCAGTTAGACAGATCTTCATTCCTGATTTGAAGAACATGATCCTGAAGTTGGTCTTCTTGGTCAACCGTCCAGTAAATTTGACTATTATGTCAAATATTCTCCCCTAGCCAGAAAAGATTCACCATCCAGTAATCCCTCATGGGACATCCCTCCGAAATCTCAACCCAAATCACCTTTAAAACTATCCAAACCTGCCAAATCACCTTACTTCAAACAGCCTTTACCATGTTATCAACAGTCTCTGTGGTGGATTGCCAAAGAAAATAAACCAACCCATTCACCCCTTGCTCATACTCCACCTGTTCAATCCGTCATGATGATCCAATCCCCTGAGCCCACAAAGACAGGACAACATTTTAATTATGACACAAATTTTCCTTCCCTTCAAGAAACTGCCACTCAACAACTAAAAGTGGTTCCTTCCAAAGTTATACAGCCTGATGGATCCACACCCAAACTCTCCCAAGCTGAAGCAGTTCTCAATTGGCAGATTGAAAATGCTTTAGCCCAAAACAAAACCATGACCAGACTTGAACAAAAACAAGATTTAGTAGCTCATCAGGTGGACTCTCAATCTCAAAACCAAACTATGCTGATTTCTCGGCTACAAAAGCAAATTGATCATCTCCAAAACCGTATTGATCAGCTCCATCATGATTTAATGCATATTGTCAGTAGCTCTCATGGCTATTCAGCTCAGTTTCTTCAGAATGAAGCAGAAATGAAGTCATTAAAAACCCAAATGGCATCGCTTCAATAGGAATATCTTAAGCAAAAACTTAGACAACCACAGACTTTCCCTGAAATGTCATTGGTACCAAACCCTTTTGATTCCACAACAGCATGGCCACAACCCTCTTTTTCCCCTTTCCCAAAAATTAGCCAACCGTTGGTCTCACCTCATATACCTTCTGGTGCTGTTCAAGCTTTTGGCAACACTGAACATTTATATGCCAAGCTCCGTAAAGAACGTGATGAAAAGATCAAGCTGGAACGAGACCAAAAGAAGCGAGAAACGTATTCTGCTAGACCTTAGACTCCATCCGCTGATATTCTTGACTCTTTCTCTTCCAGTCACTCAGATCCTCCATCTCTTAAGCCTCATCGTCCTTTATCTAAGGATAAGGCTCCAATGCATATAATGATGATGGAAGACCGCCAACCTTCTGCTAATCCTGACTCTTCAGAAAATCCCGTCTCTTCCAATTTTATGAGCTCTTTTTTGCGAGACATGGTAGAAAGGCAATGTCTTGCCGCCTCGGGTCTATCTCAGGATTCTCTATCTACCTTCCAAATAGAATCAGAAGCCGATATACCTTCGACTGATGAATCCTTTGAAAGTGACTTTGACTCTGACAATGATACTTCTGATCAACATCTTATGTTTATCCCCAACTGATGACTCATCAACCTGAATCGTCCAGACCACCTGTTGTTTCTGAGGTCGATGATGAGATGCCTGAAGGTGATGGTTCCATTCCAGACTCTCCGCCTATGTATCAACAATCTCGTCACACTCCAGCTAAACGTGACTCTTATACAGCCTCAGCAAAGCTCCATACTTTTACCGTCGATGATCTGCCTCCACACAAATGGAGAACTCAAATGTATGAATTTCAGGCCTGGTTACAAGCTGAGATGCTAAAACCTAATGCCCAAGTCTCCACTGTCCTTACGCAGTTTACAACTAGATTTGGTGGCATTCTTCGTGATTGGTGGATAAGTCTTCAGGAGTATAGACAAAATTTGTTCATCCAAATGCCAGATATCAACCAAGCCCTGTATCTCCTGTATGATGAATTCTGTGGATTACCTCACCTTTATGAGAACCAAGTCAGAGAAGAATATTTCAAGATGCGATGCTGTTCTCTAAAAAAGAAAGATCTTGACAGGCATTACAAAGAGATGGTAAAATGATATCATATACTTAGGGGTATGGATGATCCTAATATGAAGCAAGCCTTTTTGGCATCAATTCCTGAATCCCTAAGTCATGAAGCAACCAAGCTTATACAGTCCTAGAACAAACAACTTGGATCCACTTCTCTTGGTGAAATTTACCAGTTTGTTATTCTTGCTCTGGAAAAGCTCTGTTCTCAAAAACAATTTTTTGACGATTATATGAAGCGTTCTAAACAGCTGACAAAGGTTTGTCAAAGACCAGACTTGCAGATTAAATGTAAATCTGATCGCTCATGTTCTTGTCCTACCAAGAAAAAGTTTCATTCCAGACGCATCAAGTTTTCTCCACCTAATGCTCCAGGCAGACGCAACTTTCGACGTTTGAAGCATCGTAAGTTTCTTCGAAAAAGGAAACGCAAAGGAAAACGGTCGAATCGGTGTTATTTGTGTAACCGCCCGGGTCATTTTGCCAAAAATTGTCCAAACAAGCCCAAGCAGTCAGTCAAAATGATGCAACAACTTTCTCAGCTCACAGATATCGATTTTTCTGATGATGATATTGAAAGTTGGTTTTCCATGGATGACGAACCCACTTCAGACACTATTTTCCAGTTTGCAGCCACTGATACTGAGTACTCTGATTCAGATGATTGTCACTATTTCTACCATATCCAACAAGCACCACAATCCCTTCCATCATTAGCCTTCTCATGTCACATACCTACAGCAAAAGTTCAGATCTTCCCCACCAAATACTCCAAGCCCATTTCAGTCATAGCATTTTTTGATACTGGTGCTACTCGTACCATTATCAACCCTAAGATCCCTCCAGCCTCTCAGTGGAAACCTCATTAGGAAATATTCTACACTACTAATAGTGAGACTTTCACTACTCATCTGATTAGCAAACCCATTAAAATCCAAATTTTTCCAGGATGTTTCACTTTTCATAAAGTTTTTGGTTCCGATCTACCTGGCAAAGACATGGTTCTAGGTTTTGATGTTTATTCTAAACTCAATAAACTTAGAATCCTTCCTGATGGTGTTCGATACAAGATGTTTTTCCAATCCTGGACCATACAACCTAATTTATTCCAGATTGAAGGCAATCCTATTGAGCAGATCAAGACCCAGCTTATTTCCCGCTCTTGCGTAGATTCTCATGCTGATTTTTTCACTAAATGTGCTCATCCATTATGGAAGAATTCGGATTTCTTTATCCGTCTTCCATTCATCAAGAGCGAAGATATAAATCCCACTAAAGCTAGTCATTCCGACATGTCACCAGAACATCTCAGTCTTGCCCAACAAGAATGTACTCAGCTTTTATCTCAAGGATTGATTGAACCCGCAGACTCTCAATGGGCATGTGAAGCTTTTTATGTCAATAAATGGGCAGAACAGGCCAGAGAAAAACTCAGACTTGTTATCAATTATCAGCCCTTGAATTTCTTTCTTCGTGATGATAAATTTCCTCTGCCTTCAAGACAAATTCTTTTTGCAAATCTCCATAACGCAAAGATGTTTTCCAAATTTGATCTCAAANTTAAAGTTTTATGTCTTAAAAATTACAATTGAATTGGGAAATTTTCCACTGTATTACCCACAAATTATCATGAAATTTTATAAGCTCATACTACATTGAAACCAAGGCTTACCACGTCAGGCCAGATAGCAATAGCACAAGCTTCCACAGTGTTCAACAAGCATTCAGATGGACCATGCTGCAATAAATAAAATTGAAAACTTTAACTCAATTTAAGCTTTAAGGACTTTCTTCTTATTTCATATTCTTGGAAAGAAAAGAAAACCCAATTGAGAATGATAATAAAACAGTGGGACCTGACAATCGAAGGTGGTGTTGGTGCCGTTTCTGATTTTGGCATTACCCCAAGGGTAAAGATGAAGATCAACGACCGAGAGGAGGTCATCATCTTCAAAGACCTTAACTAAATAATTTATAATAAAATTGGCACTGTACGGACACAATGACTCGTAGTAGAGACCCAATTCGACTTTGTCGGTATCTGAAGGGAAAGTTCTAGAAGCTAAGACAGAACAGGAGAAGAAGAAGAAGCTCAACGAGACCATGCAAAAGCCAAGAGATAGGGGTTTTCTCGGAGGAGAAGCCATGGATAGATACAATTTAAGAGCTGAAAGCTTGATTTTGATTCTCTTTTCTCGTTTTTAGTTAAAAATGAGAGATGGGTTTGTTAGGACAACCTTGCACGTGAAGTTGACACAGAGAAATTCAGTTGTCAGATTGGTAGATTCCTACGATAATTCCACGGAATTTGCTTTATCTCTTTTGTTTTCTTCAATAAATAAGCAAAAACTTATTTTTGGTTTTATATATATACCATTTAATCAAAATGGTATTTTTTTTTTTTTTTTTTTGGATGCTGTATGAAGTAAGGTGATTTGGCAGGTTTGGATAATTTGAAAAGTGATTTGGGTTGAGATTTCGGAGGGATGTCCCATGAGGGATTACTAGATGGTGAATCTTTTCTACCTGGTGGAGAATATTTGACATAATAGTCAAATTTACCAGACGGTTGACCAAGAAGACCAACTTCAGGATCATGTTCTTCAAATTGAGAATGAAGATCTGTCTGACTGCAGCGAGCTTTCTTCTTTTTCTGGTTGGAATAGTTTCGTCTTGGAAGATAATGCTCATCGATTTCCCAAATAGGATCATCACGACATTCCGAGCATTGGCAATCAAGATCAAAGAGAGTGTGACCAGTGACTGGATCATATTGATGATAGATAGAAGCACCAGATTGTTGAAAAGAATGAATGGAAAGTCCAGGTTCCCTATTGCAGTAGTGGGCATGACCGAAGTAATCATGAATTGAGTTTGTCTAAAACTCAAAGGTGGAGCACTGGGAGTTGCTGGAGACTTAAATCTGATAGTTGTTGTCCCATCACTGTTATCATGCATGGTAGATTCTGTAGAAACCATCGAAGTATCTTTTTTGTGAAGAGACTCGTAACTCGTCACCCAAGAGTCGGGTAACAATTTGATCAAATCATCTCTGGAAATTTGTCTGGGAATATTGATACAGTGAGGAGTATTCTGAGAGTCAACAGTAAAGAGCAGTGCATCAGTAGTTGTAGGGATAGCGAGATCAAGATCAAACTTTTTTTTTTTTTTCCTAAGTAAATTGTAATATTATATTTAAAGAGAAAGGATTTACAAAGGCTACAAAAAGGCGGTGAACCTGCAGTGGGACATCCTCGCATAAGGTGTAAAAATAAACGTCTAAGCTTGATGCCTCACAACTTTTTTGGGAGCCTATATAAACCAATATGGGAGACTATATAAACCAATATGGGAGATAAGACCCAAGAGAAATAATCTAACTAAGAAATCAACAAGAAGACACCATCCTCAGGATAATCTCCTGGGTTTGGTTTCAAAACACATACAATGAGACACAAAGAAGACTCACAAGAGAGAAACAAAGATAGTGAGGATGCACCACGACAAAAACTTCACAAAACAATGAGTAACTCAATAAGTTTCTAATCGAGATAACAACATCTCACCCGATCACATGGTCTCCAATAACGTTGGGAGTGAAAAAGGTGTTTTTGAAAATGGTTTTAGGAAATCCCCATGTATCAGCCAGCTTTCTATTTTTGTAGAAAGATTTAATATTGCTAAGTTTCATGGCTTTGTCTCTCACCACACTTTTGATAGTATTGATAATAGTGCGAGAATCCTTGCACTCTCCCCCAAAGATTCTATAATTTCGCTCCTTCCGAACCCAATACACCGCCCTTAGACAAAGCCTACCCAAGGTGACTTTTAGACTCTTACCTTTCCATTTTCTAGCCAAATGGGGGATGTAATCATGCCAAAACATAAGGATTTTACTCCAAATAGATTTAGAAAAAGGGCATGCAAAAAAAAGGTGGTCAAGAGATTCCTTACCTAAGTTACAAAAACAACAATAAGCATTAGTTGTAACACCATACCTCATCAACTTGTCTTTTGTAGGCAATCTCTCCTTTAATGTCATCCACAAGATCATAGAGTACCTTGGAATAGCCTTTGAAAACCACACCAAGTCACACCAATCAACTTTTGCTCTTCTTCCTCTTAAGTATAAGAAGCAGGGTTGTTTCTGCAAAGATTAGAAGTTAAGTAGGGTTGTTTTTGTAAAGAAATAAAATTGTCACCACACGGTGCGTTTTGTAAGCTTTTGTATCAGACTATATAAAGTCTTCTGTAACTAATATTGAGTTAACAAATGTTTTAATAATAGAACAAGAAACAGAGTCTTTCTTCTTTTTCTCTCGATTCATTCATTTCCTTTTATTTTCTTTTTCAAGTCCGTCACTAATCTTTCATTGCAGGACAAGCCTGCCTTCAGTATTCAACAGCAAACTAGCGTTGCCAAAGACTGGTGGATCATCTCGGTTCGCTGTCCAGACTACAGTTTCTCAGGAATTCCAGCAAGAAAAATTCCAACAGCATAGGCTTCCGAAGGCATAGAGACCAGAGCGTAACAGCCATGAAGAGTTTGTGCTGGGTGCTAGAGAAGATCCTAGACTTATATTAAATTGTTTTCGTTGCGCATTAACATTAAAAGATGCACATAAGAGAAAGCATGCAGCATGAAGGAAAAGAAAATGAAATATCTGCATCTTCTGAAATTATTTCGGATAAATTGATCCTGATTTTACGGTAGCGAATGAGAATGACAACTCTGTAATGCATATATTTAAAACTGCGGAGGCCAAAGTCTCCCATACAAGTCAACTTTTGACTCATAGGCATGTATGTTGATTTCATTACCTTTGAATTCACACGAAGAATCAGAAAATATCAAAATATAACTACTGTAGAACGTCGACTCGGTCATATATACATTAGAAAAACAAATAATGAGAAAAAGACATACATAGATGTGCATACAATTTATGAAGATTAACATATTTTCAAAACTATCAATACCATAATATCATGGACATCTAATGAAGAGCCGAAGATCTTGTTTTACATTTTTATAATCTTAAAAGTAATGCGAAACTATTCTCGATATACTTATGTAACAATTATACATGTTCGACATATCATCTCTAATTTCTTGCATTTAGTGTGCTTTGGAATTGTTGTAGGTTAAGAAACAATCAAGTTTTAAGCTGCAACGATACAAAAGTGTGTGGTAAATAATTGATTAAGTTTGAATAATAGATTTTTATAAAAGGACTACAAAAGCTACCTAGGTCCCTTGTTTCATTATTTCCTATCCTATTTTCAATTTTATCCTCAAAATAATTGTTTGTTTTATTATTAAGAAAATACTATTATATTTTCAGTATTTTCTTCAATTATTTTTAAATCTTTTAAATTTATTAATTTAACTAAACACCCTCAGAAAAAAAATTTAAAAATTAACAAAAACACCCTCACCTATCCACATTTATCAGATTTCAACCACCATCGCAGGAAGGTGGTCAGAATCTGGTATAATGGCACACTTTCAGCTAGATCTGATCGAAAAAAAACCATATCGACACACAAAAGGCCAGATCCAATTGATCGTGCTCCGTAACGTGGTCGGAATCTGATAACTGTGGGTGGGGGTATTTTTGTCATTTTAAAAAAATTATATATTAGGGTGTTTAATAAATTAGCAAACCTAAAGAGATGTTTTTGTTAATTTTCAAATCCTATGTTATTATTTCCATCTAGCTCTAAAAATATCAAAAATCCTATCGAAAATAATAAAACAAACACACTTTTCAAAATCAGATTATTTTTTAAGATGATTTTGTATGTTTAAATGACAAAATCAGATTAATTTGAATAATTATTTTTTAAATTGAAAAAACATAGCACAAACTATAGCTGCTTGAATAGCCACCGGGCTATACTACCAGAACAATCACCACCGACACTGGCGACTTTTTCATGCAGTGCCTGGCGACAGCGCCAGTTTCTCGAACATCAACGTGATCCGATCTATGCGATCCAGATGACATCACTGGAAAAAGAGGCGGCGTAAGCCTCATACGGCTAAACGCCACGAAGGAGTCCGACGATGTAACTGGAATAACATAGATCGGCTTGTTTTGATCATTTTGATGCTAGCTGTGTCATTGGACGCACCACGAGAAGGTGGTCGCCGAAAACCACCACCGGTGGTGGTTTGGCATTCCAGTTCTGGCACTAATCCCAAATTCTAGTTTTTTGTTTTTAACTTTTATATATTATTAAATTATTTTAAGAAAATATTTTTTAATATACCACACAGATTACTAGACCTTAGAGATGCTGTCAGAAAATCATGGAGTTTATGCATGTGGGAAACTATGATAGCCGACCTAAGCGAAACCAATCAACACAACGATCGGTCGAAATAATGGTCAAGGCCCTCATTTTATCCCACACACACGTACACCCACACGGATTCTAACATCATCTAAAAGGGCTAGTGAAAATTAAACAACCATATAAATAGAGAACATGTACATAAATAAAGAACAAGAACATAAATGAAAACATAAATATTAAACATGTTAAAGAACATAAAATAAAACATATATGGGATCTTTTGCTATCTATAACATTTTCAGAGTATTACATCACCCTTGAGGTTGAGAGAAATTTAAAAATATGAAAGAAACATGGAAGAAGTGTAGTAAAGATGTGCAGAGAAAGTATGGAAGTGTAGAGAAAATATGGAAATGAAGAGTGAGAGAAATAAACAAAAGTGTTTACAAAGTTTACAACAAAGTTCCTCCTCCGCTCGAGAAGGTAAAAGGCTTTATTTATAGATACAAGGGATACAACCACTCATAAATGAGTTATTAAATACAAGACTAACTTTTTTTACTTTGGTTTTTTTTTTTTTTTTACATTAAGTAGCCTACAATTCTTGACTATGTACAAAGGATACGGGAGATATTACATTGAGATGGCATATTGCCATTTAGTCCACTCTTATTTTACATAAAGGACACAACTATTTATTTTAGGACACGTGGGTTGTTAATCATCTAACAGATTGGTAACGTGCCATGAGTCTTCATCCTGGAAGTCGAGACAACCCATTGATTGAATCCAGTCAGCAGGGTTTTATCGGGGAGATGTATCTGGATGAGTATCCGAAGAAATATCTGGAATCTGAGATGTTGGCGCTGCAGATGTATGTGGTGCATTCACGTATTGTTGTCGCTTGGATTTTTGGAGATAGTAATCACGAGACTGCTAAAGCTCTTCTTCCTACACAGTATTTGGCTGTGAGTCCCGGTACCACCATTCTGGATAAGATGAATTGTCATCGAATTGAG